ATTATGGAAGTTTACATGTAAAAATAAAAGAATATTTGATACTAAAAGAAGAAGTTGTTAATTAAAAATCAATGAAACCAAAAATGCTATGTAAAGTAAGGCATGTAAAAACTTAATTACAGATTATTGAAGATTTCACTTTCATTGCAAATCAAAATCTTTAAACCGTTCGGGTTGCTAACTCTGGAAGCAAAAATGTATGCATTGACCATATACAAACACTTTTTTTTTTTCAAGAGAAACCCTACATGAGATAACATATATATGTCCTTGACTTTTATTAATGGACATTGCTTTCTCTGAAATTTGAAAGGCAATCTCAGATCCGTTGAGGTCATTGACATTATTGATATTAGCATCAAAGTCCAGTGGTTGTTACCAAATACTATTTTAGCTTCTACCACATCACTATAGGCGGTTACTATTACAACGTGTTTGGTTCATGAAATAAGTCGGGAATAAAATGCCATTTCCGGAAATAGACCTATTCCATTGTTTGTTTTGTCTTTTCATTCCTGCGAATAGCATTCCCGAAAATGAGTTATTCCCTTTATAGGAGGAATAAAATTTTGAGTTGTTACAAAAGGTGCGTGCTAAAACAGAACTAAACACATAACCCTTTCGAATTAGATATAATGCAAAAACACACAACTAATAATGCAAATACGCCAAACTAAATATGCATATTTAGACATGTAAGAAGATATACAGTAAAACATAAATAGAATACTGAGATTAAATACATTTACCGGTTTGTTTGATAAGTTGCATCAAATGACACAACATCACCAAAGACTTCAAAAATCTTCTTAGAAATATGGTTAGCCTAGAATAACATGCTCGATTGATCACGTTCATCCACATCATAATAAAAAAATGCTGAAAAGATCTCCTTTTTTTTTTTTTTTTTTTTTGAAGAGAGTATCCACAACCATCTGAGCATCAACACCCAAAACATAAACCTTGAGACCCCTTTTATTGTTTTTGAAATCCACACTAGTTGCATCAATGTTTGAATACGAACCCACAATCTCCTTATACAACCTATAAGATTTCTCCAGTCCAGTATTTGCTCTAGCATAATTAGCAACAAACATCTAATGAGAAACATCAATATTCCTATTCACTTTCATAAACTGCCGAGATATATTGATGCCATTAGATGGGTGTGACGTTTCTCAAATGCTTTGATCACATAACAACCAAATTCAAAATATCTAAAAATGATGCGAGCTTTACAACCCACCCTATTTGAGACCCTCCTTTTCTTAGGGGCAGTACACTGCACAAACATTTCCTCATCTATTCCTAAATAATCTTTTTGAAGAATAACATGCTTAGAGCCCTCCCGATTACAAACAACATATTTCCAAACTATCACACAATGTTTACTCTTTTTCACAGTACTATGTCAAATATCAAAACCAACGTGAGAAGCATAATTTTTATAAAATGCTACACCAGATTCCAGATCAACAAAACTCTTACCCACAACAAGTTTAAGTGAATCATCACAATGTGGCACATAATAATGTGTCATAATAGGAGATATATCTAGACGGTAAGTGTCATCCTTATCATAATCACCTGGTAACACCAAAGGAGTACAATGCCACACTGGAAAATAAATTCAACAAATATGAAAAAGGCTCGTGGATCTTGAATGCGAGATATAACCTAAAGGTTTCTACTAAATTTTAATTCAATTATTAAGTTGGACTAGCTCCAGGATCTACTCCAGACAGAATAAAGAAATTAAAAGTAAAAGCAATAAATGGAACCGTGCACCAGGAAATGTTCACGCAGTTCGGAGCCTCACTCCTACGTCTGCGAGGCCACTCACGTAAGCCCAATCCACTCGATGATCAACAAGGAGTACAAGGGGGAGTACATTACACACTAAAGCATAAGCTACACTACTCCGATCCAGTGACTACTCCAGCATCACCATGGGCTTGACCTGCAGGCTATCTTCATCACAACTTAAACCAGTTGAGAAACCTTCAACACACGAATATATTGATAGAAAAACCAGTGGAGGATTTGAGGAATGATATGTATAATTTTAATCCTTGAATCTTCAACTTTAATGCTTAACAAAGTAGCATTTTATAGTGATGATATGAAACCTCTTTGGTCTGAAAAAATGCAGTCTTCAATTCCTCAAATTAAGCTGCATCTCCTGAATTAAAAAGCCATGGAAGTAGGGTCTTGACCAAAATAAATGTTTGAATGAGTTTCACTTCTTCTGGATTACTTCCTGGAGCTGATCCTGGACTGCATCCTGGCGCTGACACTGGACTGGAGTAGGCGCTGATCCAGACTCAACCTGACACAGACACTGGACCATTTTGACAACTAATTTAAGCCAACTTAAGTGGGTTTTAAATGTGTAACATTTTACACTTACAAAATATAAGGAAAAGTAAACTGTTAATCGGCAATGGATGCACAATTACAAGAATAAAATTGCACAATTACCTTCAAGAATATGCGCAAATAAGACAAGCAAAATGCATACTACATAATATAATTTGAAAACCACAAATCACAATACAACAAAAACTCTATAGGAAAACCACCTTATTTACTTCAACAGAATGAACAATTATTACAAAAAAAAAAAAAAAAATGCATACTACATAGTATAATATTGCAATGAAAAATAAATTTATCCATTGAAAAATAATACAATAAGCACATTTAATATATATACATAAAACATATATTCTATAAACACAAACAAAACATGAAAACCATAAACCACATGAAAATCAAGACTAAGCTCGGAAACATACCTTGACCCATTGTCCAAATCAAAATCGCAGCTAACGACTCCGAAAATCAAAACGCAATAGCAGTGATAGCAATGATCATAGGTAATCAATCCAAAATCACAATACAATCGCATTGATTGCAATAATCGCCCAATGCAATCGCAAAATACAAAGTCCGACAAAGCAATCACAATGAAATCACAGAATCATGTAGAATTTAAGAAGAAAACTAGCGATTCACAAAAATTTAGGAAAAATACTTGCAATTCGCATAGAATTTAGGAATGAAACTTGCGATTCACATAGAATTTAGGAATAAAAATTAAAAAAAAAAAAAAAGAAAATTAAAGAAGAGAAATAATAAAGTCTCCAAATGCAAAATGAGCTCGAATCAGATGGCGGTTAGGAAACAAATTTGTAAAAATACAAAAGTATCCTTACTTCCCAAAATTGGCGTGAAATCTGTGCATAAATATTAACCACCAGAGTATAAATGATCAACGATTAATATTAGTTCTTAGTTTTCTCCTAAGAAATTGTTCTCATTTGATCCAACACACATACATATATATATATATATATACATACATAATGCAACTGCAAGTGGAAAAAATTAAAATCTTTAGTATTTTTTAAATTAGAGGGTAAATTGTTATTTCCAGCTATTTTTAGCTGGTAATTTGGCCTCTTTCACGATAATGTGCATTTATTTATTTATTTATTGTTTCATTTTGTAAACTAATGCGACTTGCAAGCTTGTAAAAGGCGACCACACATGGCAATTTTTTGGCTTTTATTTTTTAAATTTTTATTTTTTATTTTATTATTATATTTATAATTATAATATAATAATATAATATGAAAGGGTCATCACTTTTAAAAATCAGAGAGTATTACAAGGTATAGAGAAAATAGTGAAGTATTTACAAATGTGATGGTATGAAAGTGAGATCCACTTTTCAAAGTGAGAAAGTATTATAGATAATGATATCCCAAACATTCTATGGAGTATTTATCTTTGATTCTCAATCACAAAATGAAAAAGAGTTCTACTACATGTACTCTCAAATCTTATTTCTTCAAATTTACTTTCTGATGTGGCGGGCTCTGATATGTTATTTTCTTCATGTAGGCCTCTGTAAAAGTGTCTACATCAATATTTTAAGTGTGAGAGTAAAAGTTGGGAGTAGTGGAGGAGAGTACATGTAGTATTTTGGAAAAAGTTTCAAATTGTCCCCCTAAGTCGAGTGGATAGCGCAATTGGGTCCTTTAAGTGAAAAAAGCTCTATTCAGGTCTTCTAAACAGGTAAAATTGTTCAATTAAGTCCAAAATGACTTGTTTATTAGGTTAAATGCATACGGTGTTGACATGTGTCCTTATTTTATTTTATTTTATTTTTTTATTAAAAATATTATCTATTATAAATTAATTAAAATAATAATAATAATAATAATAATAATAATAATAATAACAACAACAATAATAATAATAAAAATTATTTAAAAAAAAAACAGTCACTGACTGTCCACACCGAACAGCCATGGGCGTCCAGCCACGACCGTCTAAGGAAGACAGCCACAGTCCCCTCCGTCGGGAACGAGGGCGGCGACGAAGGCTAGAACCGCCATGGGCGTCCAGCCACGACCGTCTAAGGAAGACAGCCATAGTCCCCTCCGTCAGGAACGAGGGCGGCGACGAAGGCCGTAGCCCTCGTCCAGATCTAGAAGCATGGCCGTCTTCCGTCCGGCCACGACTGTTTTTTTTTTTTTTTTTAAATTCTTTTTAATTATTATTATTATTTTAATTAATTTATAATAAATAATATGTTCAATAAAAAAAATAAAATAAGGACACGTGTCAACACCGTATGTATTTAACCCGATAAACAAGTCTTTTTTTTTTTGAAGGCTAACGCCTCCACTGAGGCTCAAACTCATAATCTTCCAAATGGAAGTCCAACCCGAGTACCATTAGACCACATAGTCCTAGTAACCCGATAAACAAGTCAATTTAGACTTAATTGAATAATTTTACCGGTTTAGGAGACCTAAATTAAACTTTTTTCACTTATAGAATCCAATTGCACTATTCAATTTAACACTTTTTCCATAGTATTTTGTAATGAAAAATTAACGAGGCACACCTCAGATTTGACGTGGAAAAAGTTGTATTGCTTGAATAGACACATCGTGAGTAATTGTAATTCCAATCCCATCCTGATCAAAATTCAAAAAGTTGCCCTCCTCGTCATGACGAAAGGCGGTTTAAATCTGAACGGTACGGCGGAGAGAGGGAGGACGACACAATCTGAACGCTCTTTCGCGGTCATCATTCCATAATGGCCGAAGACGACGATGACACTTTCGGAGATTTCACTTTCGCATCTTTCCTTCCCAATATCCCAATTCATGACCCACAACCCACCATTGAAGACGACGATGAATGGGGTGATTTTGTCGATTTCTCGCGAGGATCGGATCACTCCAATGGACCCTCTCAAACCACACCATTCCATCCGCTTGGCGTCTTCTCCAACCCTGGATCTCAGCAGCCGGTCCAATCAACTCCGTTGAGTGAACCGGCGATCACCCAAACCGATTTGCCTAAGACTGCTCAGTGGGTGAAACCCCGAGGCGCTTTGCCGCTTTCGTTATTTGGAGAGGATGAGGATGAGGAGAAACCTGACGAGGAAGACAAATCTGTTCATATCGAAACTCAAGTTGTTAATGAAGAAACTAAGAAATTGAGCAATGGATCGAATACTGATTCGAGTATTGGTTTAAACGATATAATTGCTAATTTATACAATCAGAATCCACAGTTTCAATCTGGAAAACCCCCTTTGCATGCTAGTGAGTATGTTAATCGGAGCTCCGATTTAGGTATCAGTGAGTTGGGTTCGAATTCGGGTTTATTGCCCGTGAGGAATGATTTTGGTACAGTGCGTAATTTTGATTGGAACTTAACTGGGTCGGGATCGAAATACCAAGCAGTTGAATCAAGTTCTAAATTGCTTTCGGATCAAACTGGGTTTAGTTCAAATACGAGTGTTGATGTAACAAACTTAAGTGAACGCAGTGAGCGGATCAAGAGTGACGATTCATTGATTGGTTCGAACACAGGCGGTTTGAGTTCCGATATAACTGCATCGCGTTTGAGTTTTAGTGGTCGGGGTTTTGATTATGGTGAATTTGGATCCACCTCAAAAACTTCAAATTCTAGTTTTAGTGGATTTAACTCAAATTTGGATGCTATGGTTGTAAGTGGAAGTTATGGGGAGGTCGGTGATGAAGATGATGATGATGATGATGATGATGAATGGGAGTTCAAGGATGCATTTACTGAAGCAAGTGATGGGGGTACACACAATAAGGTATAGACTTTCTTAAATAATATTCTGTTCTGTTCTGCATTTGTATTTGGAAGGCATAACATTAGAGAAGTATTTGCATTACATGCTTCTATTTTCTTAATGGTTCTTCTGCAGTTTGGTTGTGCAAATGCCCTTCTCTTTACTAGTTTGATCTTCACATCAGGTATGCTAAGCACCATTAGAAAAAAAAAAAAAAAGAAATTCCAAAGCTTTATAGTTGCTGTGATAGTAACAATCTAACAAGTCTAACAAGTAATATAATAGATTCATCTAACAATCTTTAGTTCCTTTTATTTTTAATTTTTTATTTGTCATAACTTATTAATTTTCTTTTTGGCTACATGTCAATTGATTATTTTTGTGTTGAACTTAACATATCCAGTCTCTAAGAATTTCCTACATGTTAATTAGTAACCTTTAATTTAACTTATGAATCTGTTTCCTGATTCAACAGGTAAAAACTTAAAATCATAAACTTATAATGAAACTTACACAGTGTTCAATAATATTTCAATTGTATGTGGCCTCACCACTGCTTAAGTGACCCAAATCATTGGCATTGCAAAGTGAGGTGGATCAGGATTGGGAGGTATGTGGGTGAAATATTTGAAGTTTTTTGTTAGGTCAACATTTAGCATATCTAAGTTTTTGAATCCTATATTTGTTGGGTCTGTAAGAGATATTAGGTTCAATCTGTCTATCCACGAGTATGTGCCCAAAAAATATTAAAAAGAAAACACCTTTTAGCTTACTGGATCATTGTGAAAGAAAGTCGGTTGCAAATATCCTTTCAAGTTAAGTACTTCAGCCTGAAGAAAGTAATTTCATAAATATACCTGGAATTAAAGCTAATTCTCCGTTTAGATTTGTTGTTTGAGAACACAACTAATGGTAGGAGTGTAGGACAAATGTTGAAGGTGATTGTGTTTTTTTTTAATACTATAGTTCTACCACCAATGCAGTACTTAATTTGTATTCTAATTCGACTTCAATAGTGCACTTACAGTGCATTGCTTTGAAATAATGAGATTTTGTTTTATTGTTCAAAAAAAAAATGCTGTTCACTCAATATAGCTTCTTGTTTACTGAAGGCTGGCTCAGAAGCACAAGAAATTCATGAGACAAAGGCATTTGGCAATGGTTCGAACAGATTGCTTCATTTGTTTCCCATGTCAAATGGATCGGAGGAGGCTGATTCTCATGGACACTATATAGGTGATATGAAGGCATACTCAGTTGGGACTGATAATGGTTCAAATGGATATCTTAATTCTGACTTAAGGGGACATGATACTAGCAACATTATGGCATACTCATACCTGAATGTTCCAAATCATTCAGTTGACATATTTTCTATGTCAAATGGAACTGACCTTGAGGTACTTGATACTGGTGACATGAAAGCATTCTCGTCTGCATTTTCTAATGGTTCAGTCATAACAAATGAATCAGTAAAGGCTAAACCTGAGGCACGTGATACTAATGACTTGAAGACCAATTTGTTAGGGTATTCTGAGAGTGATAATCACTCAATTGCAAATGGGATTTCTGGCATTATACATGAAAATGAGGTTGAAAATAATAAACCAAGCACTTCTGCTCAAAACAGTTTTATTCCAGATTCATACTGGACATCTGAAAAGAGTGTTAGTAATGGTATAGCTGATCTCATACCAGTTGTTGAAGGTGTTGAAACTGATGAAGACTTTGGAGAATTTACTGGTGCATTATCAGATAGTGGATCAAAGCAAGAGGTATATTTATTTTTAACAATTTATTATTTTCTGAAGTCCTTACTTAGATGTTTCTCAAACTAACCTTTTTGTTGTAGGGAGAGTTGAAGGATACTGATCTTTCTCATGAACTTGAAGCTGTCAAGTCTGGTAACAAACATCAGGTGCTTAAATTATTCTTCTTGCGAATATAACTTGTGTGACTGCAGTCTCTTTATTTTAACATTTATAATTGTTATTATTCTAGTCAACTTTTCTGAATTAGCTTCTATGCTTTATCTGTGTTTTTGTTGCTATTATTTCATAGGTCAATATAGTTAATATCCAATATGGTATAGTTATGTATTTGGAATTTTCTTGTTCTTGTTCAGTTGAAAAATTACATTGTTATGTGGTCTACTGTTATTTATAATTTGGCTCCAATCACAATAGATAATGTGATTTCTTTGCTAATCTTGCCCTTGTGTACTAGTGCATAGCTTCTTGGGCTTACAGAGATTTTATGGTTTCATTTTTCAGTTTGTTGTTATAATCAGGATACTTGATCTAAATATATTTCCTCAAAAGTTATCTTTAGCAAACTAGAGAAATTTTCTTTAACTTTGCTTGATCTCCTCTGGTTTTCAGTTAAATTAAGTGCAAGAATCATTTGCTAAATATGTTTGAATGCACATTTATTATTATTATTATTATTATTATTATTATTATTATTATTATTATTATTATTATTATTATTATTATTATTATTATTATTATTATTATATTTTTGGGTACATAATTCACATTTGTTGGAGGTGCACTGTACTTTGAATAAAAATAGAGTATTGATGATTTTAGGGGTTGTTAAACTGGTGAAGAATTAATCAATGAACAGCATTATCCACCAAAATTTTTTTGGATGTTTATTTTGTTTTTGTGAATGTGTTTCCTTACAAGACCTTATATGAGTCATAAACACCAAGTCTGATCTTTTATGTGTGCTCAAGAATATTCTGCAGCCATGTTTTATTATTTCTTTTCCTAATACATAACTGGCAATGGTTCAGGTGAATGTGACAGGGTTTAATCATAAAGAAGCGTTGCCCTTGTCTATCTTTGGCGATGAAGACCTGGAGACTGATGCCTCTTCTACAGTTGAGGATGGTTTTATCTGTCATCCAACTTCTTTTCCAAAAATTGATAAAAAACAGGAACCTGTCATTTCAATAAATGATCTTATATCAAGTTTATACAGCCAAGCAGAACATACCTCTTCTATCAGCTCCTTGCAAAACCTTTCTGATGTTGTAGAACCCCCTGATTCAGGAGCCAGCTCTAATTTAGTGAATGATGAAGATGCATTTGGAGATGAATCATGGGAGTATAAAGGTGGCATACCTCGAGGAACTGAGAACAAGACACTCATTTTTCATCATGGAGATTCACTTCCAAGCAGTTTGTCCATAAGAAAGCTAGATAATTATGTGGATTTCTATTCAGAACTAAAGAAGGAGTTGTCCCTTTATAGTAAATATCAACTTGGGAATCTTCAGGTTTGTATTGCTGCTAAATGATTTGGGGGTTAAGTTATCAATTACACATTGTGATATGTATGGAAACCTCACCAACAAGGTTTCTATAGGTATCAAATTACATATATCTCCTATATTTTAGAGAGATGGTGTTATGTCAAGAGAAGATGCTAAAGCAATAGCTCTTGATGATGGAATCAAAGATTCTCTTTTCCCTCCCTTTTCAGTGTCCACCATAATTTATTGCATAATGGAACTTGTATGCTGCATAAATTTGAGCAAATCATCCAATGAAATTGGGAAACAGAATGCAACATTTGTTGAGGTTACATGTAAACCTACCTCCTAATGCGGATGCCCTACGAAACAATTTCAGAAAAGTTCTAACTAGATCCTAAAAACATACAAGAGCATATAGTGGGCAGAATTTACAAGGCAGCATGTTCGTGGCAAAAGATCAAAAGAAAATATTTAGTAGTCTTGGGAAACCAAAGGAAAATATTTAGTAGTCATACACGTCTTATTTATATATAATAGTTATACAGACCCTATTTACTAGATGCCATTTTATTAGTAAAATCATGGAATTTTAGTTGCTTGGCACTATCTTGAAAGGACTGTCAACTTTCTATCTTTTATAACCTGGAAAATGTAAATTACTCTCTATTGATAGGCAATACTAGTCTTCTTGAGTAATTCTGCCAATTGAAAACTAAACAAAGGAATGAAGATTCGACATACTGCAGAATTTCTTTTATTATCAAAAGGATATGATGCTTTAGTAGTGTTCAATTCTTGGAACTTTTCCCCAAGTAAGAAAACGTTGCTGCTTAGTTTTTCTCTACTAAGCTTTAGTGATCTAATGGTTTTGGGGTGTTACAGCTTTACCTGTTTATATATATCAGAATGAGAGATTTGTAATACTATTTATCTAATGAAAAGGCAAGAAAAGCATTAAGAAGGTTTTGCCAGCATTTGCTTTTATATTATTGGATACCATTTATGCTATTTTTCCATCAATTATGAAAATGTCAACCCTCTCTTTTGTTTTTATTGCATATTATATTTCTTATAATTGTGTAGGAGGCTGGCAAGGAATTAAACCTTGAAGGTTATAATATATGTGAAGAAGATGATTTAGAGGGGCATCCATCCTGGGAGACTTGTTTTCATGAATTTATTGAGGTTCTTAGGAAACCAAAATTTCAAGTGCTGGAATCAGAATATAACTTATCAAGAAGGCTATCTCAAGTATGCTCACCGATTCTTATCTTTCACTAACTCATGGAAGCATTTGAAAACTGTGTTCTTGCCTTCCCCATGGAATGAATCAAAAGATGCAATAGCTTGTGCATGTACCCTTCAAAAGAGTTATTTTAGTGTTTTGCCTGCTGCTAGTCTTCGCTTACTATCAATGTGCTGAATCATTTATTAAAATTTAATTTCAAGTCTCATTTAAGAAGTATATAATGCTATTCAGTACCTGCATGTTATGATTGTTTCTGTGAAGGATTAAAAGGAAAGCAGGGAATAAACTCATGCTATTGTTTGTTGCTTAATCATGTAGTCTAACAATTGACATAATTTGATTCTTGGCTTATGTTTTTTCTGTTTCTTCCTGAAAAACAGATGGAAACTGATTTTAATTCAGCAGTGGAGCTTATTAATCATGCTAGCATAATGCTGAGACTTTTGACATTTGCGTCAGCAAAGGAACAGCTAATTTATGTTTCTGTATGGTACAAGATGTTCTCAGTTTGTACTCAAGAGTTGAAGCATGGTACCTGGCTTTGGAAGCAGATATCAGATAATGATGCTCAGAGTTACGTGTTCTCCAATACTAGAGGTAGTGCACCATCTTTGAATTCATTTTCATAATTTCATAATAATGCAGAAACTGACAAAAGAGCAATGGTAGTGACTAGTGACTACTAGGGCCTAGTGGCTTAATGGTGTTGTTCTCTTTGTAAAGAAATACCTAATTGCTGGTTAGTTCTTTATTTGATTCAGTGCCTTACTAGAATCTCTACATTAATAACAGGAAGAAAATACATTCTGGGACTTGTTGAGATTTACAAGGTGGCTGTAGTGCTTGGAGCTTCAGTCAAGCTTTACCAACCATGGACCTGGTTAAATTCTGTTGATTTCACAGGCATCTATTCACTTCTAGATGAATGCCATGCTCTTTGGTCTAGATTGGGACTTGAGCAAGCTATCTTGAATACATCAGATCCAGCATCTACTGGCACCATCAGATTGAGTCTGGACAATATCAAGTCTATTCATGATCTTGATGCATTTGCCCTTCAAAACCATATTTTCAGTCAGAAAGAAGTTATTTGTCGACTGTCACTCCTAACTTCAGAAGTGGTAAATGGTAAGCAAATTCAGACTTTACAATTTTCCATTCTTGAAAATTCTGTCTTGTTCACGGCATTTGGCTAGTTAGTCCTTGCATGGTAAGATGTATTAGCAGTTATAGTGGTTGTGGCTGGTAACGATTAAGATATACAGCATGAATTGGGTACAGAATGTGTGTCAATTAGCTGCATTGATATAGCCCGTATAGGTAAATAGGAGAACACATTACCAAATCTCTTGCATGAAAAATAGAGTATTATCACACCATTTTAGTGTCTATTCTCTTGGGCCAGCTATGAAGTACTGAATTGCCTCTTGAAATAATATAGGGATAATGGTCAAATAGGCCATTCAACTTTTATGAAAAATGCAATTAAGCCATCGAACTCTAAAGAGCTCCAAATAAGCCAATGAACTTGAAAAAAAAATGATGCAATTGAACTATTTTTACCCCCTATAGCAGGTTAACAATAGGTATGAAGTGGGGAGTGTTCCGTTTCTGTCTTCTAACTCTATTAATTTGATAACTTCCAACATTAGGTATGAAGCTTGTTATCTGGAATGGAGAGCACTACTTTGTCACACTCGCAAATCTCTGGGCAAATCTTATAAGCAATGATCCTCCAGAGTTACCGCATTTAAGTTTTGGATGGTGAAAAATGCTGTTTGATAATTTTCTTGTCTTTATTCTGGAAACAAGTTCCGGTAGAGTAGTGTTCCAAACAGTGGATTGCTTCAAGGAAGATGAGTGAAGACTGATGTACATACGGTCCAAGACTGCATGCCTAGCCCGGATACAAGAAGCAGTTGCGGGCATGCGGCAATATGGCTTTGCTGTTTGAAATCCCCACTGATCAAGCCATTGATTTGGTGGATGGACTTAAAAGCACAGCATTTAATCAGTGAGAGATAAATAGGTATATATATTATATTATATTTGTCATTCCTTTTCCCCATAAATGTAAATTAGTGATTTTGATGTCTAGTGGGATCAGATATATTCACCCCATGTAACTAGAAAATAGGATTATTTGGAAAATGATGACAAAAGCATGCATTCTTTCAATGTTGTCATGCCTAAGTTTTGATCTGATTTGGTTCTGTTATTTTTAATGGAGTTGGGAAAGGCTTCTTTCACTCAACTAGAGGATTAGGTGACCCTATTTCTCCAAGTCTGTTCATCATTGTTGCCTAGTAATCTACCATATTCACATTGTAAGGTGGCACTAATACACCTTTTTTTTTTTTTTTTTTTTTTTTTTTTTTGTACGTAGAAAATTAAGTTTTGTGTGGGTGTGTGTGTGTATTACAGGTTCAATTTTAGTATATTATTTAAAAATAAATCTATGGTACATTAAAAATGAATATTTATTAGTGGTTGAGCTTGCAACGTAGATTACTGTTGGGGCTAATCTTACTTTAGTTACCGATCTTAATGATTTGGTTAAGGTTGCTATATGGAAGCTCATGGCAATTGATTCTCTTTTAAATCTGCATGGCAACAAGAGTTCTACATGTTTGTAGTGTGTATTTTTTTGTATTTGCAGGTGATATGAATGTTTAGATTGAAGTTGAATCGAATTCTTTAATTGATGTTGATAATATGTAATTCCAGGTTGATGCTTCATGTATTTTTCTAGTTTTAGGTTTTGATCGTTAAATTGCAAAATATTACAGTACATTTATTGTTTGTAGTGTTTGATTATCATATGCACACGGTTTAATATTTGCATGGATAATGTATATTATTTATATGTATAAGGTTCATTATTTTTGAACATGTGTTGAACATATAAGGTTCATTTTTTTTTTTACATGCATAAGGTACATTATTCGCATGCATAATATACATTATTTGTATGTGTGGTTCATTATTTTGAACATGTGTTGAATATATAAGGGCCACTATTTGTATGCCTAAGGTACATTATTTGTATGAACATGGTACATTATATGCATGCATAATATACATTAACTGAACATGTATAAGCCTTGTTTGGCAATCGACAGATAGCGGTTAGCGGACTGTGTCCATGGATAGCGGATAGCGAATTGTGTCAATGGGTTTGATCGCTAGATTGTATTCTCAATTTGTAAAGAAATTAATGTTTGGTAAAATTAGCTATATTTACTATTAGCAGTTGAGGTGTAAAAAGACATATAAGGACATTGCTTTAACAACAACAAAAACATGTTGTTGTTGTTGTTGAAGAAGAAGAAACGGGAAAAGAAAAACAATACGATACCAAGGGCAGCCAAATTGGCGCCCTTTGTATTTATGTGTTGTCCCACATTGGTGGGAAAACACTGAGGGGCCTTGAGGCTCCTCTATAAAAGGAACGTTAAGGCCCCTTAGTTTCTACTTCACATTTGATATTGTCCCTATATGTATTTATCTATAAAGAGTTATAGTTTTCTACTCTTACCTATATGAATATCTTTACTTAGACTATGAAATTATTTTATATTTCAAAGGAAAAATCTATTTACTTTCCTATATTTATATGAGTATGGAAATAAGCCTAAGTGCTATATTTTGAAAAGTATAAACTATATGGAATTTACATTACTACTATGAATTTTGATAACTATTCGGGAGGATTTATACTTATGATATTGCTTATATTTTGAAGACAACTTGTGCTATGATAGAGGTTGCGGTCCTATCAATAGTAGTACATCCTGGATAATTGATTGAGGTGGGGTAACCTAGCTAGTAGAAAACATCTTGGGTTACTAAGGGCTGGTTTACTACTCTTTTGGGCTTGGAATTCCATCAGGGGGTGTGCAACTGTGCACAGTTAAGGTAGTCGTCATGTTTTCAAATTGTGGTAAAGTGGGGTTGTGTGAAGTGTTTAGTAGGGAGTTACTGTCACTTGGGAGTTCGTTGCGGTGATGATCATGCCCCACTATTTGAGAAATTAGATACCTCATATGTATATACTTGTATAAAAATGTTTTGAAATACTAAACTATTGCATGATGATGATGATGAGAGAGTATTTGGAAAACTCCTCCCCCTTTTATTACTTATGATGATTTACTAAGTTTGAAAAGGATCCACAGGCTAATATGGTTTATCAGAGAACTCCTTTAGATTTCTCACCAGACTCTCATACTTGGTTCCAAGACACGGGTGCAACAAATCATGCGACTCTAGATATAGCGGCACTCTCTATCTCGGACGAGTATAATGGTAATGACACACTCCGTGTCGGTGATGGTACATGTTTGCCTATTAGTCTATTGGTCATGCATCTTTGCATACCCCCTCTAGGTTGTTTCATTTGTCTAATATACTTCATGTCTCCACTTTATCCACCTCTTTATTATCGGTTCAAAAATTTGCAGTTGATAATAAAGTCTTCTTCGAGTTTCACACATCTTTTTTTGTTGTTGTGAAGGATATCAATACCAAGGAGATTCTTCTTCGGGGCAATAGTTCTAGTGGGTTATATACACTACCAGTTCCGAGTTCGTCACCTTCTGCGTTTCTTTCAGCTCGTGCGTCTCCGTCTGTTTGGCATGATCGTTTGGGTCATCCACACCATCGTGTCCTTAGTCATATTATTCCTTTTTGTTCGGTTGGTGGGTCTAGTAGTGCTATTCGTTGTAATTCTAGTTTATGTAATGCGTGTCAAATGAGTAAATCTGCTCGTTTTCCATTGCCACGTGTTAATCTATACTGATATTTGGGGTCCAGCTCATCTCTTATCTTCTAATGGTTATAAATACTTTGTTCTCTTTGTCGATGATTTCTCTCTTTTTTACTTGGTATTTTCCCATGAAACAGAAATATGATCTTTATGATATCTTTGAAAAGTTTCGTGTTCTTGTTGAAAGACTTTTTAATCGTAAGATCAAATCTATCCAATCTGATTTAGGTGCAGAGTACAAAAAGTTACATTCCTCTCTCTCACAAAATTAGGAATTTATCATAGACAGTCCTGTGCCTACACTCACAAACAAAATAGTCGTGTAGAGGGAAAACATCAACATATTGTCGAAACTGGTCTCACTCTCATGGCTCGTGCCTCTGTTCCATCTAGGCTTTGGGATTTTGCATTTGAGACTGCAGTTTATTTAATTAACAGAATGTCATATGCTATATTAAATAACTCTAATCCTCATTCTTTATTGCATAAATCTCCTCCTTCATATTTTTTTTTTCGTGTCTTTGGTTGTCTCTGTTATCCCCATTTACGTCCCTATAACCGTCATAAAATGTCTTACTGATCTTCTCCATGTGTCTTTCTTGGTTATCCTAAGTCTTTTAGGGGTATAGATGTATAGACTTACAGACTAAAAAGGTATTTGTGTGCAGGCATGTGAGGTTTGATGAAGTTGTTTTTCTTTTGCTACTAAACTCTCTGTGCAGAAAATTTCAGATTCTCATTCTAAATCGTGGGTTGCATATATTCTTCACCCCGTGGTGACTAATTCGGTTCAGTCCAAACTGGCACAACAAGCTGGACCGATTCGGACTGCCCCAGCACTGCCGGCAGCGCCTGAACAGATTGCACAAGCAATGTCGGCAGCACCTATTGCGATGGAGACAACACAACAAGCTGTCACAGTCGCTACTACTCGCCCGCGCGGTCGCCCAAGGGGCCGCTCCACCCGAACGAACATCCGCACACATGATATGGAAACACGGAGTCGGTCTCGCGCACCTCCTACAATTTTGACAGGTCAGGTTTGCATCGCTGACCCCACTTGTTACACACAGACTGTCAAACACTTGGAATGACGCAAGGCCATGGATGAGGAATTTAATGCTCTGTTGCAAAATCAGACATGGTGTCTGGTTCCATCTACACCTCATCAAAATATAATTGGATGTAAATGGGGGTTTCGAACCAAGAGAAAAGCGAATGGTTCAATTGAGAGATACAAGGCAAGACTGGTAGCAAAAAGATTTAATCAGGTTCCCGGTCAAGACTTCTGTGACACTTTTAGTCCGGTTGTCAAGCCTACCACAGTCAGGTTACTCCTTTCTCTAGCTATATCTTCTTATTGGACTGTGAGACAGCTAGATGTTCATAATGCTTTTCTTAATGGTAATTTGACTAAAACCGTTTATATGCGGCAACCACCTGGATATATTAATGTTCAATTTTCTGATCATGTCTATTTGTTGAAGAGATCCTTGTATGGGTTGAAACAAGTTCCAAGAGCTTGGTTTAACCGCCTTCATGATTTCTTATTATCCGTTGGTTTTAAGGCATAAAAAATGGACGTGTCACTATTTTATTACTCCTAGAACTCTACTTATGTTTATCTTTTTGTCTATGTTGATGGCATTCTAGTGATGTGCAGTGATCAAAATCTTGTGAATGATTTATTGTTAAAATTATCTATCGCTTTCAAAATCATGGATCTTGGTGAACCAGGTTTCTTTCTTGGTATTGAAACCATTAAATGCAGTTATGGAATTCTTTTATCTCAACAACGGTATATGATGGATATTTTAAAATGTACTGGTATGACTGATTGCAAGCCTCTTTCCACTCCAATACCTGTTTCGAAATCACTTGTTACCTCTACAGATTTGTATGATGATCTTACGCAGTATCGGAGTTTGGCTGGAACTCTTCAGTATCTTACTATCACCAGACTAGATTTATCCTTTACAGGCAATCAACTTTGTCAGCACATGCATGCCCATACAGTCACTCATTGGGAACAAGCCAAACGTGTGTTGAGGTATGTCAATGGGACTCTATCTTATGGCTTACGTATTCGAAAATTTGAGTCAAGAGAGTTACATGCATTCTCGGACTCAGACTGGGCTGGCTGCCCTGAGTATCGTAAGTCAACCAGTGGTTATGCTATTTTTCTTGGGTCAAATCTTGTATCCTGGGTATGCAAGAAGCAAAGAACTGTTGCAAGATCCTGTACGGAGGCTGAATACAAGGGTTTAACTGATGTTTGTGCTGAGGTAATCTGGGTTCTCTCACTCTTACGTGAGATTGGCGTCACTGGGATTTCTGTTCCAAAGCTATGGTGTGACAATCTTGGTGCTACATATCTGTGTGCTAATCCTATTTTTCATGCTCGCACTAAACATGTTAAGATTGACTATCATTTTGTGAAAGACAAAGTTGCCAAGGGAGAGATTCAAGT